TACCAGCCACTCCTCGGAAGGAAGGTTGGGCAATCCTACTTCCGTAGTGATACTGCCTCGGAAACCCAAGGAGGGGTCGCTGTGAGTCGGGGCCGACTCAACGGCAAAACAACAACAACAACAACAACAATCCCTTTAAAGATATTCTTTGAGCAGCTGCTGTGCCAGGTACTGTTCTTAGTATAGGGGATATGAGCAGTGGACTCAAGATAGCCACAGCCTATGTCCTTGTGGAACTGGACATTAGACAGTAACAGTTTGATAAGTGCACAAAAGAGTGCACTGGGCTCATCTCCCAGGACTAACCCAATCCTTATGTTAGAGGGCTTCAGAGACACAAACTCCCTTTTGTGATACATTCTATAACAAAGAATATATAATGTAAAATGGGGACACCTGAGAAATTGCTACTGGGAAAAGGCTTAAGAAAGCATCATGGGGGCAATGGTGGTTCAATGGCACCACCCCATTTCCATGTGGGAGACCTGGGTTCAATTCCCAGCCAATGCACCTCAAGCACAGCCACCACTGCCTGTCAGTGGAGGCCTGCGTGTTCCTATGATGCAGAAGTTTCAGTGGAGCTTCCAGACTAAGATGGACTAGGAAGAAAGACCTGGCAATCTACAGAAAAGCATCCAATGAAAATCCTATGGATCCACAGCCAATTATTGTAATTGGTGTCAATAAGTTGTGTTGTTGTTGTTGTTGTTGTTAGGTGCTGTCGAGTCAGACCTGACTCAAAGCAACCCCACCTTGTACACCTGTAAAAAACTGAATTGGCAAAAGCTGTGAAAGATAATATTAACAACAACGACCAAAAAGAGTAGGTGCTGAGGCTGCTTATGTACAACCAAACTCCTCATGGGATTTGGTTCCTTAGTTTGGAGGCTTAGGGTCATTCTTTCATGACCAGTTAATTGACTTAATAACAGTTTAGTGCTTCTGTTCTACCTGCTAGTTTGTTGCATAGCACCTGGGTTCTTAAAAGTTTGCAAGTGGCCATCCAAGGCACAACAATTGGTTTCTATTCACCTGGAGCAACAAAAGGAGAGTTAGGAATAGGAGGAGGGAATAGAACGTTAACTGCCTCCATGAACAACTGCTTCCTTTGCTATGAGACCAGAAGAACTGGGTGGTGCCTGGCTAGCATTACCGAACACTTCAATCAAAGATTCTATTGAAGAATCCTGAGCAAAAGGGAAAAAAATGCAGAAGAGAATTTCGAATTCTCTTAGAATCCATACTTTCTGGAACCATGGAGGCTGGATGAACCCCTGAGATCATTTTTAAACCTTAAAACAAAAATATCCCCTAAAGAAAAAAAAAAAAAGAAGGTGGGGACCAGATTTGCTGGTCCAATAGAGCCTGGTGGAACCACTGAGACTATGGCCCCTAGCTGCCCTGCAGGTCTGGAATTGAAGCCACACCTGTGGTTTTGAGCTAAACAAAGTACAGGCA